CAAGTGTTTGGCTCAGCCATTGCAAAATAATCTGATTCTTTAGCTTCTTTAGAGCGTTGCTTTTGCAGTATATTTTAGCTAACTGCCTATCTGTACTGTAAAGTTCTATCCAGTCAACATTTCTGTATCTGAGCAAGCATTTTACACACTTCAGAATACACATGACTGCTTCTGTTTCACCATTCATAACACATAATTTAATAAACACTAATGACCAGTGCTAGATGGTAGCATGTTAATGGAAAAAGAAATATACTGTAATCAACTGAGGTAATCTGTTCACTCCCTGCAGGAGCACCTGAAGTCATGTCAGTATGAGCAGGTGCAATGCACCAATACAAGCTGCATTGCAGTGTTACAAAGGAGGCACTTGCAAGAACACCTGACCAACATCTGTCCATACCGCAGGGAACCCTGCCCACACTGCAGGCAGCTGTTCCAGCTCAGCCTCATTCAGGTAAAGTCCACTGAAACAGCACAGAAGAGGAACAACTGCACCTTTTCTTTTACCACTGAGAATGGTGATCCAAATCTTTCCAGCTGTTCTTGGTCCAGCTTTCTCAGGTCAGGATTGGTACTAATTACTCAAGGATTTCATTTTCTACACTGTAATGTGTCACTTTAATTCAGGGGTGGACTTTAACTCACCAACGAAAATACACAGCAAAAATCTAATTGAATGCTTCTCTTCCTGAAGTGTAACTAATTTACTCTTAGAATACAGTACAAGTATAAATTCATGATGTGACTTTGTGGTGACTCTGTGCTCCATAGGATCATGTGCAGAGCTTGTGTCCAGATGTGAAGGTAGACTGTCCTGAAGGCTGTTCCCAAAAGGTCCCCAGACACAAGGTGAGCTCATCTTCTGAATCACATCATAGCTCTGCAGGAACAGCCATCATCTAACTGTTGCTGTTTCAAACAAACAACCAGCTGAAGTACACAAATATTCTACCAGAGCTGGTTGGTTGTTTCAGGTTTTTCTCAGTTTTAGTACTAAATCAGACATCATAACAAAACCAGAAGGGTATCACTGAAGGATGGGGGTGAGGAAAGAGATCAACTTTAACCAAGAAGATATATGTCCGCATTATTCAAATAGCAACTCTTGTACGTCAGTGGCACAATCTGAAATAATTGGCAGTTATGTATATCCCATCCCCTGCATTCAGTATATACATCATTTAGTTGTGCCAAACAAAACAGCGGACAGCTTAGTAAAAAAAGAGCACTATAGTGCTACCAGAGTCTAAAATTGTGAAAATTATTAAAAGGACATTGTTGCTGTAGTTATATATAGTATAAGCTGATGTAACAGTTTCTGATTCACACATACAGACCCCAAGAATTGCTGACCAATCAGTTAAGTATCCCACAAAGTCGTCTAGTAACCTGATTATGAGCTTTCCTTGCTTTCCAGCTGACCAGTCATAGACAGTTATGTCCTGAAGTTAACAATGACTGCTGCTTTAAGAAATTTGGCTGCTCTGTACAGGTTAGTTCAACTGATGAAATAATGAGATTGGTTGCTTGGACGTTTAAGATCAAGTGACTTTTTTCTGTTATGCTATGATTCACAGGGTAAAAGAAGGAATGCCAAGCTTCATGAAGACAAAGCTATCAATCACCACATGCTGCTGGTCCTGAGGAGCAATACCCACCTGGAGAAACAAGTATTTCCACTTTACATAATGATATTGATACTGTACAACAAATATAACAGCAGTCATTGGGTTAGAGGCATGACGGTGAGGTTCACATATGAGCTCATGTTGACAGTGGTCCAGGAGTTATTAAAGGAATTAAAATGTGCAGACTCCTGCAGAATATTACGTGAAATGAAAAAATCTGCTCCGTTTCAGAAAAACTCATAATTCACAATAATAATCAAGATTTCTCCAATAACATATTTTTCTTTCTTTTCTTGTGAGAGTTTAGAATATTCTGATTTTATAAGTAACTTAGTATATTATTAAAAATAAACTCTTACTTGAAAAAGTTACATTAAGTATTCAAA